ATAATTTCTCTAACTACCTGGAGGGTCTACTATAGAAATTGAGCGTTGGAACCGTACATGGTGGTGGAACGACCTTTCGGCCGAGTTCTTAGCTCACAGAACTCCAGCACTTCCAACATAGGATCAGTTAAACTCATTTCTTGTAGGCAAAGGTATGGGATTGTAATAGTTTTTATTTCGAGCAAAGGCGCTTCGTTTGAACCGAGATATGCGCTTTTGAATTTTAGAGTCAAAATCGGCGGAAACTTTCCGGACAACCCAATAAATTCGATGTCGACTAAACTCGCAAGTATTCCCGCTTCCCTAATTCCCTTCACGGATGATGAGAAATGCGAAATTTTCATGAGTGCCCCTAGATTCATGAAACGGTGAAAATACTTTCAGAAAAAGATATTTAGGTTACTTGGGGGGGGGAAGTTTGCCAGAAACACATTATCTAGGTTTTTTAATATGAAGAATTTATTAGTGATAGCAGCCCTTCCAAGGAGGCCCACAGCAAGTTTGAATCAGCAAAAAATAAGCTTGGACCTATAATTATGAAACGCAGTGTTGTAGGATTGTGATCCAGTCACTATCTTTGGCTACGAAGCTAAGGGATTTGCGTGATCGCATAAAAGCTTTCCGTGACTAATTTATTTTGCTCAATATCCATCCTTGAATAACCCCCAGAATTGCCTTTCTCATGTACTCTCACTGGTTTCGTAGTGTGATTACTGTAACATGTTCAAAAGCACGACGTTGCTCGCCGGAGCTGATAGCTTGAATCCTATATTGATGAGCTATTGCTATAACTTAGTTTATTAACATTTTTTGGAATAATTTCATAGTTCATACAGCCGAAAGCTCTGAAGCTTGAACTCTACGAATTTATAGCATATAAACTTATTTTTATAAATACACTTAACTATATTAGATATAATAAAGTCCTCATGATAACCATTTCCTAGTAACACTCGTATGAACTCTACTAGTTTCTCGGTAAATGTGTCAAATTTAGAACAAGTGTTAGCTTTGCATTCTCGTTTGTTGTGTTCTACGGTTTTCGATGCTCAGACAATCACACCATTTCCCAGGTGCTTGTTAGAAGCAATTAAACCGAGTTAGCCTTTGTGATAGGTTTCTGGCCAGAGAGAACTCGTAATAACTATCGTATAGCATACATTATACGAAGTTATAAGTTGTTGGATCTGGCTAGCAGACATTCTGCTCGACCTTGTGTACACACAAGGAACCGTTTTTCAAATTTGTCATGGTTTGGGCAGGAATTACTTCTGAAACCATGACACCGCTGTCTTTGTGGATGAATACATCAAAGTCAGCGCCCAGATCTACCCGGAAACAATTTTCACGTAATGCCCTTCTTTCAAGGACTCTTTTGACCTTCAGCGAACGTCATTGCATTCTTCAGCAAGACAGGGCGCCTCCACATGCCGCAAAATCAATGCTTGGAGAACTGTGACCGTCATTTTCCAAGTTACCGGGCACAAAATGTTTGGCCATCTAAGTCGCCCGATTTGAACCAATTGATTTGGCGGTGTGGGGCTTCTTGAAGCAGAAGATGCCTTCTGAGCAACGTCGAAGTTTGGACTCCCTGAAGGCTTCCTTGGAGGAGGCGTGGAAGGAGCTTGACGTCAGCTACTTGCGGCCCACAGTGATGTCAGTTGAGAAGAGACTTGAAGCCTGTATCGCTGCCGAAGAAGGCCATTTCGAGCACTTCTTCAGCAATGTACTGCCATGTTTAAGTATATAAAGATAAACCTCTGAAGATGTAATAGCTTCTCTTTTAAAAATATGGTCAACAATCCATGCGCCAATATTTAGTAGCCACCCTGTACTTGTCATTCAGATAACGCTAAATCCTCTCACGAAAATCTGTTGTGAAATTCAGGAGGACGCTCGACGATGACCGCAGTTGGTGCTCCCGCAGGAGGACCAGGTTCTACAATGACTGCAGTAGGAGCCCCAATGGGAGGTCCAGGATCTACAATGACTGCAGTTGGCGCTCCTGCCGGAGGGACATCCACGATGACTGCTGTAGGCGCTCCAGCAGGTCCAATTTACGTTAAAATATGAGTGCAAAAACGACAAAAAATTGTTTTATTTCAGGAGGAAGATCAACAATGACAGCAGTCGGAGGAGCTGGTGCTCCTAGTGCAGCACCAATGTCAGCTGGTGGCGGTGGCGGTGGCGGTGGTGGTCTACCGGGACAGTCCGCTTACTTTGGAGTTACCGGAGCGTCCGCTGGAGGCGCCCAGTCAGCGTATTTCGGTGTTGGAGGAGGCGGTGGAGGCGGCGGTGTGCCCGCTCCGAAAGCTCCTGCAGCTGGTGGTCTCCCTGGACAGTCACAGTATTTTGGCGTTGGTGGTGGTGGTGCCGGCGCTCCTGGTGCTCAATCGGCTTACTTCGCACCCAAGTAACTTGTCCAACTCGAATAAACCACTCTAAACTCTGTTATACCGCGGTGGTTTGTCAACGAGAACAGTGAAACACCGGTATAAAAAATTTCTGTGATTCTCACTGGTAACATCACATGCTAATACCTTTCACATTCCTTTGCTAACTTTCCACACACGATCACAAATTCCACAACAATTTACAGTACTTGCGATTACGACATTTTCACAACTCTAAAGGATTGGGGTGGTGAAGTAAGCATCCCAAGTGCCACAGCATCACATCAATGATTATTGCAGCTTAATAGCAAAGCGCAGCAACCATAGCAATGTCACATGTTCAGGGGTAAGATGGAACTAAGCCTAAGCCCGCACAATAGCATAAGCTTAATCGCATTAGTTCTAGAATAAGATTGACTGGATACAGAACTCACTAGAGATTTCCAGCAGCAGCGCAATTCACGATTAGCGAATTCATTTTCTGAGCCACATTATGCCATTCCCTGCAACCTGTTGTAATTATGTGCTAATTATTTCCGAGACATCCACTTTCCGCGAGCACTACCAATGGTAGTACAATTTGCATGAAACCCAACAACTGATTATCATAGCAAGAGAGGAATCAAGCAGCTCGTAGACACCCTACCGTTTGGAATTTGGTCAGACTATCGAGACGCACAGCACTTAGTTATACCCTGAACCTTACTCTGAATAATGTTATTCAGCAAAGTGTTACTGCATATAGTATCAGAACAAATGAGTGTGCACATGATGATACAGGGTGTGTAGTGAAATCCTGAAATATTCTATGCAATAAATTCATAGCATTGCAAGACCTACTCAAAACCCTTCTACTTTATAACCCGCTAACTTGGCGTGTCGGTTTGTACAGTTCATATCTCGAAGTCTGATTGGGCGTGTCACCGGAAACGGTGGCAGCCACCGCACTTGATAGATGTCGTGTGGATAAATACTCCGCCAGATATCAGCAAAGCGTGTTGGAAGCAGCTTATCCGCGCAACTTCTATCAAGTGCGGTGGCTGCCACGTCATTTCCGGTGACACGCCCAATCAGACTTCGAGATATCGACTGTATGTAACAAGATTATAAGTTAAGGAACATAGGATGTATACCGTAACCCACGTTTGCGTCAGAGCGCGGTTGCAGGCTTTCCAGTGCACAATGCCAGCACTAGTGTGAGAGCGGTCAACGACGCCGCCCCTGCTGTTCAGGGCAGCGAACCCAAAAATGGAGCGACGTCGCAGCGTTCGCCTCGCCGCTGCGCCTCCACCTTCTACATAAACGGCGCTTAGTACTCTGCGCGGGCCTGCTCGACGCATTCTCTCTTCGTTGAGAGGGTGCAGAGAAGACGAGAAAATCGATGACACGTGAGAATGCGCGCCCCAGTGCAACGTCGAGAAGGTTACGGTATACACCCTATGTTCCTGAACTTATAATCTTGTGTACAGTCGATATCTCGAAGTCTGATTGGGCGTGTCACCGGAAATGACGTGGCAGCCACCGCACTTGATAGAAGTTGCGCGGATAAGCTGCTTCCAACACGCTTTGCTGATATCTGGCGGAGTATTTTATCCACACAACATCTATCAAGTGCGGTGGCACGTCATTTCCGGTGACACGCCCAATCAGACTTCGAGATATCGACTGTATGTACCCTCGCCTTCAAATGACCAGAAATTGTGCAATTGCAGAAATTGACGTGGCATTAACGGCATCGATTCAAGAACATCTTTGAGCACACGTGATGTCACCTTTTCATCGAGAATTTAGCCACGTGTGCCACGTGGATTTCTGGCTGCATGAAACAGAGTGTATAATCTTGTGCTATGTACACAGTCGATATCCGAAAGTTGGGGTAGGTGTCACCGGAAGTGACGTGCACTTGATAGAAGTGCGTGGATAAGCTGTTGCCAGCATGCTTTGCTGATATCCAGCGATGTATGTTGGAAGCAGCTTATCCACATAGCTTCTATCAAGTGCACGTCACTTCCGGTGACACGCCTACCCCAACTTCGGATATCGAGTATATGTATGTCTGTCCGTCCGCAAAATGAAGTGAGTGATAAGGAAGCTAATGGAATAAACAGGCCGCTAACAAATCTGGGTAGCTCGCAGGGCTCGAGCCCCCAGGAGTTTTGCAATGGCATGATTGTAAAGGGAGGCAGAAAACCACTCACCAACAGACCTAGGTGCGGTTAGCTTTTGATATGTCATTCTAAGAAGTAAAGCGTAAGCAGGGAAGAAGGTCCCGGCGGTTGACGGGGGACCATCCTGGTAAAAGGATAAAGGTAAAGCATTTGCCGTTGATCAATCCCTTTTTGGGATGCGGCACGCATTCTACTTCCATTTGTACATTCGTAGTGGCGTTTGAATGCGATGTGGCCTATACAATGACTTGCGGGGGCCAGCCGATGTACAAGTCAGTGTTTTTATCCTCCCAGACAAGTCTGGTACCAGTATACGAATTCCCAATCTGAAAGCAGATTTGGGAGTTTTTGAACTTTTCTCTTCCTAGCAATTATTAAAATTATTGAACTTAATTAGTAGAAGTAACCAATTAAGATCGACTAAGAAGGAAAATTCCTGATGAGAACGAGCTTTTACAGTTTTCAAAGCCACAGGCGTCGTTCAAACTCGTCTAATCAGAAAAGTCATATGGCATCATAAACTAGACATAAAGACATAAACTTGCACTCTTACTTACTTCTCTACTTCTCGACCGCTATTCGTCCCGGGCACGCCAGAAACGCAGGTCGCACATCTTCCAGGCCGCTCTGCTTCGGGCTCTTCTGCGCCACAGCTGGCCGTACAATTTCACGAGAGGGTCTGCCCATCGGGTGGGGGTCTGCCTCTGGGCCTTGTTTTTCCCCTTGGGTACCAGTCAGTCACTCTCTTCGTCCAGCGATCATCGGTGAAGTCTAGCCACATGACCGGCCCACCTCCGCTTGGAATTATAGATGGCATCGACGACGTCCTTCACCATCGTACGAGCGCGGATGGTGTCATTGGGTATGCGGTCTCGGAGCGTTACCCCGCACATGGCCCTCTCCATGGCTCGCTGAGTGACTGCGAGTTTCTCCTCTTCAGAGACTGTGGTGCTCCACGTCTCCGCCCCGTAGGTCATCGCGGGAAGAACATGCGAGTTGAAGACGTGAGCTTTGACCCGGGGTCGACGTGCTTAGAAGTTAGTACATCTCGAAGTTTATTGAAAGCCCGCTCTGCGGCGTCGGCTAATCTCGAGCGTGAGATCGTTATTCATGTTGACCGCTTTACCGAGATATAAGAGTAAGAGGAGACTCGCTCGATCTCCTGGCCTTCTAGGAAGAT